GATTGTTGGCCCCTTGGATAGTTGCTCGATAACGGCCGCCTTTTTCTTTCGTTGCAGAGGGGGCGAACGGGGACGGTATGGCCATTGTTTCCTCGTTACTGTCGTTCAACAGAGAGCAACAAAAGGAGTACTTGATACCGATCGTTATCAAGGACACCGGGACTCCGTCTATGTCTGGGACCAGTACTTTAACAGTTATTATCGGGGATATCAACGATAACAAAATGCAGCCAGGATCGAAAGACATTTTTGTATATAATTACGCAGTACGTCGTTTTTTCCCACGTTTCTCCGTTAAATTAACCCTTTGCACTCGAATCATTTGGATTGATGCGAAGTTTGATTCTTTTAAAATATCGCTTCGCGAATAAATTCTTAAGCTCTTTTCGTATAATCTGATAAAGAATAATATGCTGTCGAATGATTCTTTTGTCTCAAATTAGATCGAACTACGTTTTAGTGGCGATAGAAATATTATTTTTAAAGTTTTTTAGTTTTGTAAGCAATAATAATGAGATTACTTCGAGCGAAGATGAGTTGACGATTTTTCGAATAACCAAATTATTTCTATTCATTAAGAAATTGACGATGGAGGGAAAATAGTGATGAAAATATAGATATGGTAAAAAGGTAGTTAGAAGGTGAAAAATAGGAATAATAGGTGAATGTGAGAGCACGTTATAAGGATATTAGTTCAAAATGAGTTTTTCGTTATTAAATAACGAAATTATTTCTGTTTATTAAGAAATTGACGATAGAGAGATGGAAAATAGCGATAAAAATAGAGGTATAGTATAGTATAGTATATAGAATGAACATATTGGGATTATAAGATTTGCTCTCAATAAAATAAGAAAGATGAAAAACATCGAATATTTTATCACAATACTTGCTCTAACCGAGGATGCATCTTAGTATTTACTACATTATTAAAATATCACGCGAAACAATAATATAAACTTAAACAAATTTTCTTTCTTTACACGTAAACATACACAAAATATTAGAATGTAAAAAATTTATCCGTTAATTCGTTCATTTTAAGTTAGCTAGTTGTTGATTCGAGTGCAAACGTTACAACAAAATGGCGAACGTAACGTTATTCCCCTTGGCAGGGACAATCACCGGACACGGAAATAGGCAGAGTTTACGTCTTCGATTTGGACGACTGGGACCTACCCGATAAGAAATTTTACTGGGAGAGTTTGGAACACGCTCAATTTAAATTGGACGAGGACACGGGGATGATATACATGAAATCGGGTACCCACGACGGTAGATACCATTTACGTTTCAAAGTGTACGATCGGAAGCACACGCAAACGGACGTCCCGGCGAACGTGACGGTCACCGTGAAAACTATACCGCACGAGGCTGTGCTGAACTCTGGTTCCGTTCGGATATCAGGCATAACGGATGAAGATTTCATCCGTATTTGGGATTACAAGGTATCTAAGGAGAGAGAGAGAGAGAGAGAAATTAAAAAATTCGAGACGATTTTTGATCGATTCGATTCGATTGTTCCAGTCGCAAACCACGTCGCGAAGTAAAGCGGAATTATTCAGGGACAAATTGGCGCATTTGTTGAACATCGACAGGGAGAACGTGGACGTGTTCAGCGTCCAGTTGCGCAGGATACATCCCCCGTTGACGGACGTGAGATTCGCGGCGCACGGGTCAACGTATTACAAACCTGTCAGATTGAACGGAATCGTGTTGATGCATCGGGAGGAGGTGAGACTCGATATATATATTAGATTGGAAAGAAAGTTCTTCTTATTTTAAATTTTCTATTTTTTGACTTTGTATATAATTTTAAAGTGCATTTTTCGCTTTGTAAAAATGTGATATTAATTTCATTTTCAAATTAATTTTTCTCAGAGTGTTGAAAACATAATGGACAAGAAGTAAATTCGAACAATTTTCCTATTCCAGAATTTTATTCAATTCGGAATAACTTGTTTCTCGTTGGCAATGGTCTTTATTTTGATTAATAAAGTTTTCTTTGAGCTAACTGCATTTGAATTTAATAATTAAAAACCGCAAGAAGAATTTTTTTTTCAATCTAATATAAACCAGATCCGTCGACAATTCAAATTATTTTAAATGAGAGGAGGTGAGATTCGATATATATACATATATTAGATTGGAAAGAAAGTTCTTCTTACGGTTTTTCTTATTTCGATTTTAAATGTAATTTTAAAGTGCATTTTTCGCTCTGTGAAAATGTGATATTAATTTCATTTTTAAATTAATTTTTCTCAGGGTGTTGAAAACATAATGAACAAGAAGCAAATTCGAATAATTTTTACAATTGCAGGACTCCAGAATTTTATTCAATAACAAAACTTGTTAACAAAAGTGCAATGGTCTTTATTTCGATTAATAGTTTCCTTTGAGCTAACTGCATTTGAATTTAATAATTAAAAACCGCAAGAAAAACTTTCTTTCCAATATAATATAAACCAGATCTGTCGACAATTCGAACTATTTTAAAATGCATTTTTCGCTCTGTGAAAATGTTATAATATTAATTTCATTTTCAAATTAATTTTTCTCAGGATGTTGAAAATATAATGGACAAGAAGTAAATTCGAACAATTTTCCTATTCCAGTCCAGAATTTTATTCAATTCGGAATAACTTGTTTTTCGTTAACAAAAGTGCATTGATTGCAATGCATTATTTTGATTAATAAAGTTTCCTTTGAGCTAAGTGCATTTAATAATTAAAAACTGCAAGAGGAACTTTCTTTCCAACCTAATATAAACCAAATCCGTCAATTCGAACAACTTTAAACGATTGATAAATTAACGATGTTTAGATCGAGAAAGAAGTCGGTATCAACATAACCATGGTGGGGATCGACGAGTGTTACTACGAGAACGAAGTGTGCGAGGGTAGTTGCACGAATACGTTGGACATTAGCAACTTACCGTACATGGTGAACGCGAACAGAACGGCCCTGGTCGGCGTGCGGGTGGACGTAATCGCCGAGTGTACCTGCGGGGCGCGAAACTTCAGTAAAGGGGAATCCTGCAGGAGCAGCCCTTGTTACAACGGCGGCCGTTGCGTGGAGGGAAGATTCGGATTGTCGTGAGTTGGAAAATTATATATATCTATGTTATAAATTAAAAATTATAAATTATAAATTATATATATCGCAAATGATCACGATCTATGGGAATTTTTCAATCGGCGTCAGGTGCCAGTGT